CAAGGCGTCTTTTAGCAGTCCTCTTACTAAACCCTGAACCCTAAAAACCCTAAACCCTAAACCCCAAGGGTTCCAAAGAGGGTTCCAAAGAGGGGTCCATAAGGGTTCTGAGGCTCAGAGGGCTCAGAGCTCGCGAGCTTAGGAGTTTACGGTGCAAGTCTCAAGGCTCCGGGCTCAGGACTGCTGGTGTTGGGGCCCCTTGGCTTAGGAGATTTAGGGTTTTAGGGCGTCGGCCTGCCTTTGGGGTTTAAGGGTTTAGGGTATAAGTTGCAGGGGACTAGGAAAGCTTTAGTGTTAAGAGTTTAAAGATTTAAAGGTTTAGGGTGAACTTGTTCTTTTGGGTCGAAAGGCCTTATGGTAAAAGCCTAGCCCTCAACGCCGCACAAAACGTAGGACGGGGCCCCTGTACAAGCGAAGCTCCCGTCTGGGACCCTCTTTGAAAATGCTGGCAGCATCCAGTCAAAGGCTTTCACAGAGGCTGAAGATTGAAGTCTTTCACTCTAAGAAAGTAGGTGAAAGTGAGGTTTAGGGTGTCCAGGAGTTGAGAGTCTAGTGTTTCGGGGTTTACACATTGCGGGTTGAGGGCTTTGGGCTAGGGCAAAGCACAGTCAGTCGCGGCTGCAGGGGTTGCGTGCGGTTTTCTTTCTACTCTGGCAGATACTTTGCAGCAGTGGGCTCATGGGCCCATAGCGACCATAAGGTCTCTATTATTTACTTAGACCCCCATTATGGTAACTTAGATAAAATCCCTTACAGATTCATTATGGTAACTTAAATACAAAATCCTTTAACAAGAGCCCAGATTAAGGCCCGGATGGTTTTAGAGTTAGGGTTTAGGGGTTTAGGGTTTAGGGTTTATGGTTCTATGTTGCAACCAGCCTTTGCATGGACGGGAGATGCCCGGGTTGTCCTTCACAGAGACCGCCCTATCAAGACAGATCCTTCGCCCCTGAACCCTAAACCCCTAAACCTCTAAACTCTAAACCCCTAAACCCCTAAACCCCGAAGCCTAAACTTTCGGGGTAGAGTATATAGGGGTTAGGGTTTCAGGCTTCGGGGGTTTACCTGGAACTGGCAAAACCTACTTTTTTGTGGGTCCCTATAGATGCTGTATTGGGCTTGATTCTCAGAGCCTACAAGACTGTGGGCCAGGGTAGTTGAAGGAGTTTAAAGGTAGAGTATGTCTTCATCAAAGACGGAAGGACGAACCGGGAGAATACTTTTCAAGCGCATGCTTGTGCCTGTGCCGACCCTATGCCCTGGACGCTTCGTTTTGATAAGACCCTGCATTTTTGGGGGGGAGCTTGGCAGAAAAGAGGCGTTCTCATTTTGGGGGGGGTCCTCCCTGAGCGAACTACCCATTGAAAGACGATCGCAGAGTCTGACGTCGTGATTCGATTCTCGGAAGTAATATCGAAAGGGGAATGAGTAGATGTTTCATAGTGTTTGTTTTTTTTCGCCTTAGCGTCTAGCAAAAACCCTGTTCCGAATTCGAATTCTTGAGGCCCCCAAAAGTGACTGTAAGGCCGGAGGACTCCAGCAACCCTAAACCCTAAAACCCTAAATCCCTAAAACCTTAAATCCCTAAATCCCTAAAACCCTAAAACCCTAAATCCCTAAACTAAACCCAAACCCCTCTAAACCCTAAAACCCTAAAGGATACGGAACCAGGGGCTGTGATTGGAATCCCGTAAGTTACATCTGCAGAAATAGTGCCGGTAAGCAGCAACCCTAGAGACTCTAAGCTCGCCCCCTAAGCTTAGGGTTTAGGGGTTTAGGGACGTTTTAGGGCTTCTAGGGGCTTTGGGTTTAGGGTTTAGGGATGTTTAGGGCTTAGGGGCCGAGGGTTTAGGGGCAAGGGTTTAGGGTTTAGGACTTAGGGGTTTAGGGTTTAAGAAGTTTAGGGCTTACAGGGGCTAAATTCCGAATGCTCTGAAGCCATGTCTCTCTCTACAGCCTTGAAAGTTTCCTCTGTGTTTAATTTCGGCATAGTTGATAGTTTCCCCTTACAGCCCCTGACACAATTCTTGTGTTGTTTTACAGAAACACCTTTGGGATCCCCCGCAACTTCTATCACTATCTTCTAGGTCATATTATTATAGTTGTATTTCCTTTACATTTTTTACAATTATTATCTTCCTAATATTTAGACCTATAATAAGATTACATTATTCTCTCACTATTTTCTAGCTTATAATCTATACCACCGAACCGTTCCTTGTCCCTGTGTGGTTGTATCTTGACTGGTGGAGCTGGAGATATTAAAGGTGGTGTGTTTACTTTATTTCAGTCATGGGTTTAGGGTTCCGGGAATAGGGTGGGTTCCTTGGTATACATTATTACTCCCCGAAACTCCAGTTCAAATTTTCAGGAAATCCGTATGAAAGCCTTTTGAAGCCAAATAAAGCATGGTTCAATTTTTCAGGAACACCCGTATGCCTGTACGAAGGCCTCTTGGCGCCGTATTGACAGCCTCATGAAGGTCTTACAGCGTTTCGTGACTTAGGGTTTTGTTTGGTTTAAGGTTTGGTCGGTCCCGAATATGAAATGACGAGGCGGCCCCTATCTTCATTACATAGTTTAAAAAGCAATCAAGGTGGAACCCTGATGACTAGTGTTGCTTGTCATTCAGGGTTTAGGGTTCAGGGTTTAGGGCTTGGGGTTTCTTCTTGGGGTTTGTCTATGTCGAGTGTCATGAGGGGCTTGGAGGAAAAATGCTTAACATTCAGTTCCCCTATGAAAAGGTAGGAGCCCTAAACCCTTATACCATGGACTCCGTTATATAGCGGTTGAACTGTGGAAACGTTTAGGGGAAATTTGGTCCTTGGCTAGGACAACTCTTGCGATTTAAGGTGAACCGCCCCGCAATCCAAACCAGCTTTGGTCGTTCGCGAAACGAGGGTTTGGGGGATATCGGTGAGTCAAGGTTTAGAGTTCCGTTTTAGGGTGGCGGCTGTATAGAAGATCCTACACGCTCTGCCTTGTCTGCTTCTGTCTAGCAGTTCTTATGCTGTGGTTTAGGGTTTAGGTTTAGAGTGTACAGTTAAGTCTAGTGAGACTCGAAATGCACAGCCGCGTTTGAAGCCGACGGGAGAGGATTTGGACAAATGACGCGCTTCGGGGACATTCTGTTTCAGGTGTATTCCGGTGCTTTGGGTGCAACTTCCACATCATAAAAGGTCCTCACACCAGAGAGGTTTGAAGAAGTAGTGATGATACTGTAACGATACTCCCTTGTGTTTAGCCCCCATAGGCAGCACGCAACTAACCGCTGCTTTAACCTACTACCACGACGACGACAACTTCAGCGACGACGACGACGACTGCTATTTCTACTGCAAATTCGACATCGAAGGAACTGCTAAGCCAAAAGCGGTGGGAAAAGACGAAGACCCGATAGACTTAGACTTAGATTCTGTGTAAAGCAGAGGTGATGCCAAGAAGGTTGAGCGCCCCTAAACGCTGAAGCGGAACGCCTTTTCAGACGAAAGCCAAGACATGCATGCTTTTCGGGAGAGGGTTCAGCAACAGCCAGTGGCAGGGCTAGTTTTCCAAGTAGCGTGCAGTGACAGTGTGGTGTCTTTGCGGCGCAGTGTCGTTATCATTGCTCACCCAGACCCCAACCACACTCTAAGCCCAAACCCTGAGCCTAAGTTTTTAAACTCTTCGCCAGCCTTTGCTGGTCGAAGAGGTTCTTCGGGGGTCTACATAGGGCCTGGGAGCTCTGACGGGGGGGGGGGGGGGGGGGGNNAGCAGCAGCAGCAGCAGCAGCACTTCAGCCACGCCCATGAGCCAGAACATCTGCTTCCGACTCTCAGGACGACGCACATCCTCACAGGGATGACCATCTTGGGGGTCTTCATTGCATGAAAGTATCGGGGTGCCAACTTTTCAGAACGATAGGGTTCTTCGATGCGCCCTCATGGGCTGCGGTGGGCAAAAACTCCAGGAGGCGACCGAGAAGTGTACTTATGCAAAATATGTCTTAAAAGTATGGGGGACTTCATATTATGGATTAAGTTTAAGCCTACGTTCCTTAATTACGGGGTATTGAAATTATAAGGGACTACATATTAGGATTTAAGCTATATTCCTTAACTAAGGGGTATTGGGCTCTCTGGGTGTAGGACCAGGGCCTCATAGGGCTCTGTGATTTGGGGGCTGTGTATGCACTTAATGGTTTTTAAGAGGCCCTAGTATGAAGTGCCTGTTGGGGCATGGCATGGTATTCCACAAGCATGCAGGGGTTAGAAGGGTGTACTTGTACTATTCTGGGGTACTACTCTCTCAGGCCTTGGATGTTGAAATGTGTGCTTTGACTGCCTTCTGAAAGGAATGGAGAACCTTACAACCGCAACTTAGTACTACACTGAGCCTGAACCTGTAAACCCCGAGCCGCTGGAACACCTCAAGGCCCTCAGCTAGACCTAATGCCTTAGGGGCTGAGTAGGCAACCTTTAACCTTTTGGGGCTTATATACACCTATTACAATTCAAAAGGTTAACCTTCTTTGGGCTAAGGTACTCGGCCCCTAAGATAAGATGCTTACCTTCAGCCGAAAAGACCTACTTTTTTGGGTTTCCTTATTATGGCTTGGATCCACAGTTCCTTAAAGAGGTAATTAGGGGCCTTAATAAATAAAATACCCCAAAACCCTATTCTACCCATGAACCTCCAAGTAGCCTAGTCTCAGCCAACCAACTTCCTTGCAAACTGCCGAACTCACCTGCAAAATGGGTCTGTTCTCTGGATATGGATTGTAACACGCGTTTACACTGTGGGCTAAGGCCGCAGCAGAAAAGAAATCCCAAGAATGAGCTGGCAGAATCAAGAGCTGACACGTCACAAACCACGAAAACCCACTTTCCTCAGCAAGAATTTTGGGACGCAGGTGCTGCCGATTCCAGGTTTTTCGGCTCTGAGAAGCTTTCCCAGGAACTCCAAGCTGGCCCCGCACGGAGGTTTGGAGTCTCTGAGTTCCTGCGCTCGTCACTTAAGAGATGGCGAGCGCTGGGTCTTCTTGGGCCCTTCTTTGGCTTTTCCTTGGCTTCTCGTCCTTCTTCCAGGGATCTGGCGCATCGATCTGCCCAGACGGGGCACCCGAAGCGCCCGAAGCCTGCGCCTGGTCGGCCGGTTCTTTACGCGTTTTTTTTTCCTGTGGGTTCTCGGAAAGTCCTTGCTCTGAACTGTTTAAGCCGGAAGAGGTATTTGTTTTGCGAGGGCGATAGTGGGAAACTTAGGCAACAATCATGCATTCGACTGCATTTCCGGACGAGCTGCCGATCCATGCGAATGTCTCGAGGGTTTCTATCCTGTCGGGAAGCAGGGGTGGTATCCCGACACGCAGCGCGGCTACGAGTTCGCTTGTTGTCCAGGCCAAGGAGATGGCCGCAGCTGCGGGGAAGAAGGGATACTGGGCTCTTGTTGCCCTAAACCCTAAACCTAAAGCCCTAAAGCCTAAACCCTAAGGGATCTGCAGTCATCACCAGAAGGGGACGGCAGAGCTATGATGTAGTTTCAACTCGATTAACATCTCTTCATCTTTCTTCAACACCATATTTATATCATCTTTGACACGCTAGGAAGCCCGATGCAACCCTTTTGCAGCACAGCACCCAGAAATTCTGAAAAAAAAATCCTAAGCCTTAAAGCCCCAAGGCCTCAAACCCGGAAGCCCTGATGAGGCCCAGGCGTTTCCAAACGAGAACTCAGGTTAGTAACTAGAATGGGCCTTGTCGCCTACTATGTCGTATAATCTCGAAGCCTAAATAATTACCTACACATTATTCCTGAGATTCTTGACGCTTCCCTGTTTGTAGGTATATTATAGAGGAGCCCCAAAACCCTATTCGAATTATTAAGGCCCCTTCATTAGGTATAGTAAGGATCCCTGAGTTCAGGATAGTGGTGATCCTGTCCTTCTCTCTGCTGGGCGCCGGCATCGTTGGATTTGCAGTCTGCACTTTCTTCATCAAGCATCCGCGCCTTGGCCGATGCTGTGTCTAACAAGGGTGTCTAATGGGGTTACGACGGCTTTAAAGGGTTGGCTGGCGTTCAAAGTGCTTTCTACACGGAGTTGGAAGGGTTGTCTACATGTATAGTTCATAGTTTACTAGGCGTACTGTATGCTACGCCGTGTGTAGGTGGCAAGATACTACGAAACCTACTGGCCTCGGCTTTCCTTTTTGGAGTGCCCGAAACTCTCAACCCAAGACACCCCCCCGCAGCGGATTCCATAAGGATTTTGGATATCACTGTTTCCATGATGCTTCATGATAACACGCTCATATCTGCGCCTAAGGTAAACTGTAGTGGGGTGTTTTTTGGTCATCACATGTGCCGCCTCAGAGATGACTCAGGAGAGGTCTGGAGCCCTTGAAGCGTGAAGATGTGGCCCTGAAAGAGAGTCCCATCGTGCATGACGGGTGGAAGCTTCATCAAACAGTGGAAGAGCATCTCTGGTGCGTGACACTTGATGACCTGAAGCAGTTTCGCCGCCTTGTGGGTCATGCCATCGCAGAAGGAGTGATCAAGCCCACTAGCCAGGATCCCTTTGACACCACCGACATGCTCATCGGCCCTTCCATGTGCCTGAGTAGCGTGAGTACACATTTTTTACTTTCTGTGATAGTAGATCCCATAGAACTCTATGCCTACAGTCTTTTGGGGGCTTCATTTTTCCCGCGGCCCGTCAAAGGTACACAGTCAACATGAGAATCCCCATAGAAGCCCTTAGTAACCCTAAACCCCTGGGCCTAAAGCCCTCCAAAAGGTACACAGTCAACATGCAATACATCAAGCCGGTGACTTCCGCCGCTGGCAACCCATCCTGGGCATTGATGAAGCACCCTAAGGGTTTCTGGGCTCTCTTTGGGGCTTAGGGTTTAGGGCCTATAATGAAAGAACCTGGTGTACGTTGCCATAGCAAATACAATGCCGATTATGTGAACTTAGATTAATCTCCCAAGAATCTAAAACCAGGTTTGAAATGCGACGTCTTCATCACACATGGGTGGGCCGAGGGTATCTTCGAGTTCGTGGACCAGGTTGGGACGTTCTAGAAACTATCTGCTCATTCCGTCTGGTAGAGGTAAAGTATTCCTTTTGCAGTCTAGTAAAGTAGTAAAGCGGGCACATTCATAAGAAGGAACTTTTGGATTTTGGTAGCAGAGTAGCAGAGTACATTCTGAAGAAGGAACGGAACTACATGTAATGGTTTCATGGGCTTAGTGTGACAGCCAGCCCAGTAGGTTGTGAATTCCTGGCCCTTCGGTGCGAAAGCTGCGTATGTCTGCTTCCTGTCCAATCCGCAGAATCTGGACATTGGTGACCGAGTTCTTGTTAAGGAACCGTTTTACACATAGTACGGCTCTAGAGTAAATAACATCGTTTCATTATTGTGCCAACTTCACTTACAGCCCTCAACCTTGAACCTTAAACCCCAAAGCCCAAACCCTAAACCCCAAAAAGCCATAAACCCTACACCCTAAACCCCAAACCCTATACCCTACTGCGCAACCTAGTTCAGAGGAAATTGATAGAAGTGAATGTCACAAGGAAGCCATCCACAGGTCCCCGAAACGGGTTTAGTGTTTATTTGTGGCCCAAAAGACCTATATGTTTAAGGAGATGTATAAGAAACCATATTAAGAAACTCTAAAAAAGGCAGGTCTTGTCGGCAGCAGGTAGGGTTTAGGGTTGATTGGGTTCCTTCACAAGAAACCAGTCTATCTATTCGTCTGTTCAGCTAGTTATTCGCTGCGGTTTCCAATGTTAGGGAGCGTCATAATCACGCCAATCTGCTCGGAGAAGACTTAGTAGATAAACGCATAAACATGCCTGCATGTATTCATGGATGGATGGATGGATGGATGGATGGATGGATGGATGGATGGAGTACAGTCATAGAAATACGGAAATGTTCCAATGTGTAACATGAAGTTGCTTGGCTGCTGGGTTTTCTAGATAAGTCAGTGAGGTGATCCTGATTTGTCCCATCAAGTCTCGAGGTGCTAGCCGCTCCAAATCATAAGGAAAGTATATACACGCGAGCATGGTGCGTCTTCGAAGCCTACCTGGCCTACAGCTGGCAAAAGTCGATTCTCGGCTTCGAAATGTTTACGTGGTTTTCTGTGCTTTTCATACAACATCTGGAAGACTTGCGCCTGAAACCAATAAGTTATAGCAGTGACAGGATCGAAAGTCCGTACTTTTTACCCGCTTGGAGCCCACCTTCGACCCTGAACCGAGCTACTGAGGAAGTAAGGAATGCTAATCCCTAAACCCAAAAACACCGAAGCCGATTGAATCCTTAAAAGCAATCTTAAACCCCCTAAAACGCCCCTTTAAAAACCCCAAACCCTAAACCCTAAGCCCTAAACCCTAAACCCCTAAAACGCCCCTTAAAACCCCAAAGCCTCAGGATCTACACGGCCGCTTCTCCGCCGCCGAAGTTCTGGTCAAAAACAATGAGGGCCGCGAGCTGGTCGGTGCTGATGTTGCTGGGTTCTGGTCGCAGGTTTAGGGTTTAGGGTTTAAGGTTTTAGGGTTTAGAGTTTAGAGGCTTGGGTTTTGGGCCTAGCCTAGCATTCGGGATTTAGTGGTTTGGGTCGAGGGTTTAGGGTTCAGGGTTTGGAGTTTGCGTCTTCTAGTTTAGGGGTTCAGGAGTTGGGGTTTAGGACTTAGTAGCTGCGAAGGTAGCTTTTAACCGTGTCGGCCCCTAAACCCTTAAACCCCTAAACCCTTAAACCCTAACCGTGTTGGCTCCGTTGTTGTATCTCACAGAGAGAGGCCAGCCTTCCTGGGGCCGGGAAAGTCATCGACTACCGTCGCCCCATCGAAACTTCAATCCGAAGCCCTAAGAACCGCACCTTTATGGCTTGTAGTAGGAGATCAGAATAAGGAACCCTAGTTTAGGGTTTAGGATTTTTCTGAAATGTAGGTTTCCGTAGAGTCCAGGTTGGTCTAGGTTGTTGAAGAAGCTAGTAGCAAGGTTGTTTATGGGCTTGGGTTGCAAGGGTGCGATGGGCCTGTAGAAAATGTTGGAGAGTCTAGATTAAGTCGCCACAATAGCTCAGATAGGCATCTATTGGGTTCTAATCTAGCTACATGGGGACCCTTGAGGATTGTTTCTGCTATCCTCACGGCAACTGATGTGCTTCCCTTCATTTGACTCCTAGACAAGAACAGAGGTTGGGCCTGTGCTTCTCCACGGTCATGGTCGGAAACAGGGAGTGGAGAGTGGCTAGCGCATCTACGACGACTCTGGGATCTGGAGTACTATACCTGTTTCCTTTTTGGAAATGGTTTCCTTGCATGTAAGAGTTTGGGGTTGTTTTTTCATTTTTTTCAGTGGCTGTTTCAGAGCACAGGACGTGGGTATCATTCATCATGGCAGGCTTCTCTTGTCTCAGCGTCGTCACGTTTTGTGTCTTGATGTGGAAAACGAAGTACCATTGGAAGTTGACGCGGGTTGCACTGTACGCTACCCATGCATTCGTGGCCTGCGTCCTTGCGTTGACCACTTTCCAGACATCTTTCCAACGGCCTCCGAACTTTGTGACTTTTCTGGGACTTCCAATGATTGCCTGGGCCATGGAGTGCGATCGATTGCTGGGTGTCGAGGCCATCAAGCAATCCAACTATTTGCGACGAGGTTTCACGGCAAGGTTCGAAATGCCTCAACCTCAAACCCAGCAGACGGTGAGCGCATCCGAAGCATCATCTCTGAAAGTGGAGCCGAGGCGGCGGTCGACGAGGCTGTTCAGGTTCTCTTGGTAGTTAGTGAGCGACATTTATTTTGTGACCTTTTCTGAGTGTATACATAGCTTATGGGGTCCATACATACTGATTGGGATTTGGAACCGATGTCTAAGGTGTTCACAACCTCTAGGGTCCATGCACACTCACTATAGTATACCTCAGTCAGTACGCATGAACCCTCCAGGTAGTGAAAATCAGAACCTTGTCTGGGGCTCGGTAACCCACCACGATTTAAGGTTTAAGGGTCCAGGCTTTCCATGTTAAACCCCCAAGCCCTAAGTCATGAAGCCCTGAATCCTTTCCTGTTCTCAGGTTCTCCTTCGGATGAACCTCTCAACAAAGGAGCTTCGAAGTGCAACCGCGCGGGTGGGGCCACTTGGGAATCTTGGTGAGAGTTTCAGAACGCGATCGGATCACCTTTCGGGGTGGATAAGTCCCAACATTCGTGTCAGCCTCTGCGGGGGCCAGTAAACTCAAAAACCACAAAAAAGCAAATCAAGCATGGATCCGCTCCTTCTTTTTGGTGTTGCATCTGGGAGATGGAGTAAAGAAGGATCCTTGTATTTTAGGGTTCAGCGTAAAAGGCTTCACGGGGGCTAGCTTTCAAGGTTCCAGAAACATGAGGAACAACAATCTAGACTCTGAATAGTGGGACCCTTGGTGGCTCTTGCAAGACACCACCCCTCCCAAGTAGTCAGCGGTATACTGTCCTTTGCTTGGTTTGGGTTTCTTGAATTCACAGCTCAAAATCCTAAGCCCCCAAACCCCTAAACCAAACACTGCTCCGAACCGGTAACTCTAAACCCCTTAACCCTATAAGCCCTAAACCCTAAGCCCTAAATCCTAAACCCTGAGCCCTAAACCCCCAAACCCTAAGCCAGAAACCCCTAGACCTTAAACTCAAAACAAACTCAGAACCCTAAACCCCAAACTCCCGACCCTAAGCCCTTAACCCGAGATCCTAAGCCCCAAAACGGCTCAGGGATGCCTCAGGCTGGAGCCGTGGACTCTACGCGACTACCATGGCCTCTTAGGTTCTAGGGTGTAGGATTTGAGGTTGCTGTGTTTGCGTTCTCTCTCTCTCTCTCTCTTCTCTGATGTCTGTGTGTATGTGCACGTATATACACAAAGATACATATGCACGTACACACGCACACACATTCAATCCAGCAACTGAAATCTTAACAGGTTGTGTTTTGGGGGGGGGGGGGGGGGNNTTGGAGGTTCATGGGTAGTCATAATGGGTTATTAATCCCCTAACATGGGTTATAAAGTTATACTTATTGCTACCCCACTTATAGCCCCACATTATAATTACCCATGCCCCTCCAAGTAGGACCCCTTATACCCCCTTAGAGGACCCCTTAAAGGAGCCCGAAAAGGAGCCCTCACAGCAAGTAAGGTCTTCTGGGTGGGGCAGACGTTCAACACGATGCTCTGGCGGGTCGAGCCTGGATTTCGCTGGATACCTGTGGTTGCCGCCGTGCCTGGCACCTTACAGATGAGGTTTTGGGGGTTTAGGGCTTCATGGGCTTAGGGTTTAGCGGCTTAGGGGTTTAAAATAGGGGCTTGGGGGTTTAGGGTTTAGGGTATTTAAGGGTCGCGCAATGCCCTCAGATGTAAGGCTTTATACGGCTTTTATGGGCTGCAAATGGGCTGAACTACATGCTACTAGAGGAAGGAGAGCATGTTATGACTCTTGTCTCTACTATGGTAAGTTGAATCAACTTGAAGCCTTGAACCAAAACTAGCTGCTAGCTTAGGTGCAGGCGGTCATTGCTGCCTGTGGCTTGCTTCTCCTGCCACGGGACCGAAGACCATTCGCACAGAGGTCGGCGGCACTCTTCATGGTTTTCCTTCCGAAGTTTGTTCCAGGAATACCCACAGGTGGCAAGTGGGGCGATGCGCTTCTACATGGAATTGCAACTTACTGGTGCTTACGGGGGGGTGGGACACTGCATCCCCATTATTCTGGAATCGTCCCCCCCTGTCCCCCCCCACTCCCTGAAGCAGTAAGGCAATCCCCGTGCTCATTCTGATGGCCTTCGCTGGACCCACTCGCACGGCACGGCTTCCTCTCTTCGGTCCCATGCTGGTTCCTTGGCAGCTGACTACTGCTAGAGTACTTTTTGACACTTTTTTGAGATCATATACGCAATCATCGGAGTCCTGAACCCTAAAACCCGTAAACCCCAACGGCCGGACCACTAAAGCCACAAAAGCTGAAAGTCTGTACACAAACCACAATAGCTGCGGTATTAGTATGAAAGTCCCTAAACCCTAAACCCTATAAATGAGATGTGAGCAACCCAGGTTCGACTCCTTTTTGCGCAAAATCCCTGCCGGTGCCACGATTTGCAGTGTACTAAAGGGGCCGTAAAGGGTTCAGGGTTTAGGGGTTTCTAGAACTCTATACGAATAGGGTTTAGGGGTATGGAGCTCTATACGACGATAAGGGGAATAGCTTAGTGCTGTCTTAGCAGACCTCGACCCTCGGCCCCAAGCACCTCAACCTCAGACCTTCCCTAAGCCCTCACATCAAATCGAAATCCAAAACCCGGAACCCTAAACTCTAAACCCTACCTGTAACCGAAAAGACCTACCTCTTTTCAGGACTCCTATAAGGTTCCTCATAAGAAGGAACCGTAAGAAAGGTAGGTTCTTCAGGGTTCCAGGTAAGCCCTACCCATAGGCCCCTAAGTAGTTCCTTTTTATGGTATATATTTAGAATCCTATAAGGCAATCCCAAAAACCCTAAACCCTAAACCGTATCCTATAAGGTAATCCCAAAAAAGGAGCTACTTAGGGGCCTATGGGTAAGCCGCGAGGTCCCAAAAGGACGCCAACCCCTCTGACAGTGTGCAACTGCAGAGCTGGCAGTTGGGAAAGCCAGGAGACATATTTGGGACTTTCCGAAAATTGGGGGTATTGTATTTTGGGGTCCTAATAATAAGGGTCCTACTATTTAGGGTACTATATTAGGGTCCCCTATTTTCAAAACCCCCCATTTTTCTCCTAATTAGGGTCCCCGGTGTCGGGTTTAGTATATAGGGCTTCTATGAGGCTTCTATCATATGTTAAGGGCTTTTGGGCCCCAAAGACCCTCTTGAACAAGGCTGTTGGGCTATTTTGATGCTAAGGGTGATACTGTTAGTTGGGAAAGCCAGGAGACATAATTTAAGTCTTTTGGGCCCAAAGACCCCATTATGTAAGGTTTTTGGTGCCAAAGACCCTATTCTACAAGGCTTTTGGTGCCAAAGACCCTATTCTACAAGGCGTTGGGGCTATTTTGATACTGAGGGGGAACAGTTAGAATAAGGACTTGGGGATTCCTTACCTTTGATGATATAAATCCTGCACTATCTTAAGGACCCCAAACCGTGGGAAGTATGGTACATATATATTCCTTCTTATGGGTCCTGCATGATTTATATCATCAACCGTAAGTAGTTCTCTTGATAAGGGTCCCCGGTGTCGGGCTTAGGGCTCAGGTAGTTCTCTTAACTAGGGTGCTGTAAGGGTTCTATGTTTAGGGTTTGGGATTTAGGGTCTCTCTAAGGGTATCATAAGGGTTCTATATGGGTCGTTCCCTTCATTAGGGTCCCGTTTTAGGTCCCCGAAATAGTACGGCACCCTTGTAGACCTCAATTAGAAGAACTAACCTCATGCATAGGGCACCCTGAAAGGTCTGCTTAGAGGAACCGTTGGGGGTGTTTCTGAAGGTTCCTTACATGGCTTCTGTAATACAGGTTATAGAAGAAGAAAAGAGTTAAATAGAGGGGTATGTGTATATATATATATATAGAGGGCCTCCTCGGGTTCATTTAAGGGAAAAAGGTTTACCCGCTTAGATGGGGACCTCTGTTTCTGATAAGAAGAGATATAGGTAATATAGGGGGTCAGAAAAAAGCGACATGCCCCGCTTAGAGGGGCCCTAGACTAGGGCTGCTTTAATGGGCTCTTAATTCGGCACCCGATAGATCGGGAAGCTGAGTTAGACAACCATCCAGAAGGCTTGCTATAATGTGGCCCCCGCAGAGGACATATCCCTGCCTGACGGCTCATTTATAAGGTTTCGGGAAAAAGGCCTAAACCCGAAGCCCTAAACCCAAAGCGGCCCTAAACCCAATGCTCTCTATGGCTTCTAGAAGGGTGTATTTTGCGGGCGCTCAGAGCTTGGGTTGTTGCCCTAGAGCCACCTTTAAACAGCTGAGCCCTAAAAACCCGAGGTTTTTTGCAGTGGGCCCGCGCTTGTTCCCTTTTTCTCAAGTCTCATCCTGATAAAGCTACCCCAATACCCTTTTTATGATCCTTGAAGACCCCGAACCCCTAAACCTCTAAACCTCTAAACCTCTAAACCCTAAACCCTAAGCCCTAAGCCCTAGGACACCCTCAGATCCCCGCCGTGCCGCCCAGACAGGAGCATGGAGAGCTTCTAAAGAAGACGAAGACGAAGACTTCGTGTCCATATGAGCTCTGGAGCCTTTGGGGGTTTCCGAAAATAGGGGACCCTAATAGAGTACCTTAAATAGTAGGATCCTCATTATAAAGACCCCAGAAGAAGGTACCCCTAATTTCGGAAACTCCCAGATGGGCTCTGGCGCTCTGGAAGATGATTCTGAAGAGGTTCAAGGCTTGAGCCTTTCTATCTTTAGGGCTGTAGGGTGCAAGACCCACCTTGGCCCTCAGTCAGTAGCATCTGTGGTTTCACCGCTGGATATGACCATTCAGTCCAGGCTTCATGTGATCTTTTCCAAGCACCTCAAACTGAGGTACTACAAGTACAGCACACCCCCCGATCGCAAGAACATACTACAGGAATATTAGTACATGTATTCCGTATTCCAAGAAAGGCCCCTATGTATACAGGTAGATAGAAGAAAAACAGCAACCAAGTAAAACCCCCGACCACCCCGTCAGGCATCAAAGTTCCGGGCTTCTCGTAGAGACGAAGCTGTTCCACCGTACTTACAGTGCTGGGCCTGGGCCAAAGGCTGCCCCTCCAAAAGCATAGGGTCCTACAGGGCTTAGAATAACCGGTCCATGCGGCTTGAAAGGGTCTTATGCGTCAATGTAATTTGGACTATCAAGGCTCACTGTGATGATGATGATGATGAAGATGATGATAATAGCTCTACCCCGAAACCTGTTCGAAATATGCAGGCCACCATAATCTCCGGCTGACAAACGATGTGCCGGAGTCTTGTATTGACATGCCTAGTCTTGCCCGAAGCCCCAAACCTTAAAGCATCCTGGATGTAGGTTGGTTTTCCGGCTTATGGTCGGGGCTGTGACTTCGAGCCCTCTAAGTGGGAGAAAGCGTAATCTTAAACATACGGTGCTTCGACCAAATCCGTAATTTGTGCAAGATATATTTTTCCGTATAAGCAACGTACTGGAAAGTGATGTAATGTAGTGCGTTACGTGACTCTGGCGTCGCATGAAGTCATGCAACAACAGGTACGGTAGCGCCAGGCAATGCAAGCCAAGGCAAGGTGATGTATAGTAATGCTTCTGCAATGAGAGGAAACGGTGTTGAATGTAATGTAGTGCAACATAAAGCGTAGTGCAATGTAGTGTAATTTAATGTATTTTAATGTAATGTAATGTAGTGAGATCTAGGGTACTGTATGCAGCGAAATGTAATGTACTTTGTGCATGCATTGTTGAATTTCGTTCGGTATCATGGCCTATATGTCTATATATATATATATGCACATGTGCATGCATATACACGTGCTTTTTTACATACATACATACATACATACCTACCTACCTACCTACCTACCTACCTACCTACCTACATACATACATACATACATATGCATATGTTTTGGTTGTGTACATATATTTATATGTAGATATGCACTAGGGGTATAACCACACTTACGAATGTGTTACAGATGTACACTTGTCTTTAACCTTCACCCTTTCACCCATACGGTTCTTCGTACCTAAGCCTTGTTCTATGTCTGTATCGATATGGATATTTGCAGATGTATACGTGTGTGCATGTGTTTGCGGTGGTTATGTGTGCATGCATGCATGAATGCATGCATGCATACATGCACCTAAGCCTTTATCTGAATATCTGCGTACAGATTTACACAAATTCTCCTACACACGTGCATTTGTTGTTTCTCAGCTCAAGACGTCGAGAATTTTGTCTTGGCAATGTCGGGTTTCTTACGCCCGACTTCTCACAAGTAGGGGTCCTGAATGAAGGGGCTACAGTCGTGTGTCTCGAGGTGTTCAACCGGAAACCTGCAATTTGAGATTTTTCCCCTAGGCCCTAACCCCTAAACCCTACCCCCTAAACCCTAAACCCTATACCCTACACCCCAACCCTTATTCAAAGTTTGCGGTTTAGGGTCGGTTCAGATGACCCATGGCTCCCAGAGGGGAAGCTCTCGATTTCAGAGACCCTTGGGCGCTTGTGAGCAACCGCGCTGCCTGCTGTTGTGTAGGGTTTAGGCGTCTAGGGGTTTAG